CGGCAAGGGTGGTGGCTGGGGTCACAACGTAATTTTTACGTGTATTCACGACGTGAGGAATGAGAGCCGATATGGTGCGGATTGTGCGAACTATTATATGACTATATCCAGGGTTGTGAGTGATATTTTTTTTTTGTATATATAATTTAGGTAAACATTTGACAAACTCGCTTGATGTTAAATGAGGACGGCGAATTTTGGCGAATGCCAACGCGAAAGCCAATCAAGTAGATGTCCGTCGAGTATCACTTTGAGCAATTTACAAGTTATATGTAAAGTGCGTCACACAGCTTTGAAATACAGAGGAAAAATACTTTATATATTATAGATAAGATATTTCGCTTCATGGTAACATTATTTTATTTTAAGTAATACTGCATTCAAAGACTTTAAAAAAATTATTTGCCTTATCCGCCGTATCGACCAAATGTGAAAAAAGCATTTATTTTTATGATGCCGATCGAAAGGATCAAGGTCAGGGTCAAGTATAAGTATTATTTTCTTAGTATCTTAGAGAAACACCATAAAATTTGTCATTCTAAACTTTAGAAAAATGATTTATAATGTAGGAAAGTTGTTGTAAAGGACCTCAAAACATTAGTTTGTTAAAAAAAAACAATATACACGATTTAGATCCGAGAAAAAAACTTTCATTTCCGATGAAATTATTTATTTCCTAAATGAATTATAAAACTATGTGTTATAAAATTCTTTGAGTGTAGTATTAGGACGCTTTCAAATTAGACGATTGTAGAAGCGCAGCAGTGGCGCGTCTGTAGCGCTTCAGTAATTTTTATGAAAGCGTCCTTACCTACTTTTAAAAATAAAATAATGTCGCCATGAAGCAAAATATTCTATCTACAATATTTAAAGTACTTTTCCTTCGTATCCCAGACCCGTGAGACCCGGTGTATATGTACGTCTCTTTAAATATGGTTAAAATTGATAATATCTACGTTGACGTAGAGCTACGGGCATAAATACAACAATAAATACTTAACACTCTAGAGGGTAACGGTTTTTTTGGTTGTACGCAATAAAATTTATCATTTATCTAATAAACATCTAAGAGAATTCAGTAACAGTTATTTAAATTATGAAGCAATGCAACTTTATCTTATTAACTAATATATTTATTTTACACATATTAATAATAATTTAAGTAATAGACTAAATTATATACAACAGTATCACAGGAATTTTTAAATGAGGACTAAATTTGAGTATTTTGGACTAGAAGGTGTTTTGTATCATTTAGGAATATAGTTAACAATTAACACTGCCTTCGTTTATATTATATTTTATTGAAATTTTACTTTTGTTTTTTGTTCAAACGTCCAGATATTTTTTTATTGTTGTAAAGTTCAAATTAAACGCTAGTAGAATAATAACAATAATAATAACGCGGACACATTCATAGCCCCGCAAGGAAACCCTGTGTCGCGGGTGCCATGGACACACACACAGACAACCACAAATTACACCCGAACTCACGAGAGAAATTAATGTAGGCCATACAAATATTTCTCCCGGCCCGGGAATCGAATCTGGTACTTCTGCGTGACAGACTAGCGTGGTAACTGTTCGGCCACAGAGGCAGTTAGAAGCGCTGCAGTAGCGTAACTGTGGTTCGGCATCCGCATCGCTACTCATTTTCATACAATATCTAATCTGCAAAATTGAAGCGCACGTGACGCGACTATGGCACTGCATCTGCTTCCAAATACTGTATGATACTGTATTATAGAGTGCTTACAGCGATCAATTTTAAAGGGCCCTTAAAACAAAAATCACACCGGTAGAATCTTGAATTGTACACCGTGTAAAATAAATAAACGAAATTCTTGTAACAAATAATACATAAGCATGTCAACAATCAATCATATTAATCCATCACTGTCAGACGGATTTAGGGTCGAAACACAAAACTGCGATGTGACACTGCATCGCGGAAATCTACGAGCTCGCATGAAGCATCGCAAGAATTTGCGAATTGCTCCGCATCGCGCATTCTTGCGATGTTAATCTTCTTTGTGTTTGTTTTCCTATATTTGCTTATCAATAACAGCAGTGCAACACTTTTTAGGATCCCTGTGGCTACTTAGTTTGAAAAATACGTTCGGTACGGTTGACGACTGTCGAAGGAATGATCGCCCGAACCGTCGCAGTGAGACGTCTTGCCGCACGAAATTCGCATCGCGCCGATTCGCAGTTTTGTGTTTCGACCCATAGTTAAGAAATTGATTATAACATATAAAAACCAGTGTCGTACACTTGGCCGTCTTTTTTAAGTTACATAAAGTTCAATTTTTGACAAAGAATTCTAACAATTTGAATAGATTTAATTGTGGCCTACAGTCCCTATTACACAATGAAGTTCCAAGTATAAATCTGTTGAACTATATCTACAATATATAATTAATTAGCTTTACATATAATCACGTACTCATACCAGTTTATTGTTTACTTGTAAAATTGGAGGCTAAAATTTGCTCAGAAAAATTCAATAATTTAGTTATATTATGTATCTTCAGTTACTAGAGTTGCATGTTGTATTTTAAGTCGAATAAAAGGTTTAAAGTTATAAACATATTGGCAAGCCCGTTCTGGTGTTATAACTATACAAAAATATTATTATACAATGTGTACCGATCCTTAGCTACATTGTTTTGCAGACGAAATTGTAATATTGTTTAAAATATGAAATTTTATAGAAATCTACACGATGTAATAATAAGCTCTTTAATAATGGAATAGGGTTCAGTAACTTCTTTCAGAACTGAATTTTGTACGAGTGAAATTTATAATCTTTAGATGCTTAAATGATTCGTTTATTATAACTTATCTCTTATTTACTTGGGATCTAAAGGTAAACGCATGCCAGCAGCATTTTGTCGTGTAATATGCTCTGACTGCAAATAATTTTCGTATTTTTAATCCTCGACGCAAAAAGAGGGGAACAAGTAAGTTTAAAGCCTTTACCTATAGTAGTAGAAGAGCTCCGTGGGAAAGAGTTCTTCCAGGGAAGTACTGCCACCTTACCTATTTCTGCCAAGCAGTAATGTCAGCATTACTGTGTTCAGTTTTGAAGGGTAAGGGTGCTGGAGAAATTACAGGCATATGGGACTTGTCAACTTATGTCTCAGGGTGACGGGCGCAAAGGCAGTGCGCTCAGATCTTTGCGATTTAAAGCTCTGAGTGGCATTGCAACTGTTATGGATAGGCGTGATGTTTACCATCATGCGCACAACTTGTTCGTCCCGTCACTTAATATTACATAAAAAATTATAATATAATCGATGTAGTTCTTAGCTATGTTCGATGAACGTCTGTTCAGCTGCTTAGGCTGCGCCGAGGCAACGATACGTAATTATGAAACAATTGCGTTCGTTTGATTCCTTCCTCTATCGTCATTACCAAAGCTTTAGTTATGAAACTGATGTATGAGATATTTAAGGAATTCACGCTATAATTTATATACTTCAGAAACACTATCGCTTGTAGCGATCTGCCGATACTAGCCAGAGCCGCCACGCTTCCCCCTGTCCGCTTTAGTCCTGCTTCGGCCGTCAGACGTGGAGGTTGTGTCGCATGGAATTATACACGGCTTTAAAAACGTATGCCACTCGCACACACGGATCACACAGAGTACCTAAAATCAATTAGCTCCAGAAGCTCGGTACCCTCTTAAAGATCATCTCTTATCCTTTTAGAGAAGCGGATCTAAGTAATAAAATCAAGATTTATTTTACATGAAAATTGGAATGGTAGTGGAAATCCGATGGCATTACAATAATATAGTAACCCTGATCTGATGCTACAATCACGACCGGCTATAGATTATAGACAGTAGAACTAACGTGTTTGAGCTCATTAATTTGATGTCGGCGAATTGCAGATGGTGACTTTATTGAATTTTTTGAGTGCACTGTTTTATTATGAAAACTAACGTGGTTATCACACATTATAATATAAAAGTGACGGGACTTACTCGCGTAGTATTTTAATCGGAAGCGGTCCGACTAGTTTCGACCATAATCGACTCTTCTTCAGTGGTCGAGTGCAACGTTCGCGACCGCGTCACGTCTAGCACTGCGCGCTGCGGCTCTCTGCGCGCGCGCCGATGACGCAGTCCGCAGTGGGGAACTCGTGAGGTTGATTCTTCTTGATCGAATTCTTCTTCGCTACTGCTGTCCCGACAACAATCCTACGGACAGCAGTAGCGAAGAAGAATTCCAGGACGCGCTGACGCAACGTATCAGAGCCGCAGCGCGCAGTGCTAGACGTGATGCGGTCGCGAACGTTGCACTCAACCCCTGAAGAAAACCATCGATTATGGTCGAAACTAGTCGGACCGCTTCCGACTAAAATACTACGCGAGTAAGTCCCGCCACTTTTATATTATAAAGTGCACTGTTTTGTGTCGGGGATTTTTTAATTCAGTTCAAGAATTGATACTGCCTCAGCTGGAATTCAAAATTTTCTTGTACTAATATAGTTCATTTTGCTTGGGTCGAGCGGTGGAGACACTGGGTTTATTTCAGAATGTATTTTATTAAAAACGAAACTAAAGCCATTTCAAAAATGTATATTGTATACTATACGTGTTCTACTTAGTTCAGTTGATATAAAAAATCGTTGTTATATGTAAAATCCCTATTGAATACATTGTTTTTCTTGTAAAATTTCGAGGTAAGTTTGTTTTTTTTTCCTATTTTTTTAGGAATCGTGTTTTCACACCGTATACTAATCAATGCATGTCCTCAATTTTACTATATATTTTGATTATTATTATTATTTGATAGGTTGTATCGACGTGTTATTAGTATCATTGCTAATATTTTTTTTGAGCACCAGAACACTGCTTGGAGAGGAAGTAAAAAACATGAGGATATTAACATTTAGTAGAAGAAACAATCACGTATTCCAGCGAATATTCCGTTAAAAACTCCGCTAAAAGTGCGGTGCGTGCGTGCGTATCATAACAGTTTGCGGGATAAGTTGACCTTTATGAAAACTTTACGCGAAACTTTATATTAATACGTCTACCAGAGACTTGTACAACTTACATATTACTAAGACGTTTTATAAATATTAACTCTACATAATTTTATGCTTACAGGCACTTGCCTATAAGACAATTTCGTCTGCAACAAATCGCTTTTCAACCTACTTACACGACATCACTTTTATCCAATAACTCATTATTGCACCCTTCCTCCTGCTGTCATATATGATATTCCCTTAAAGGTTTAACAGATTCAGCTGATGACCTTGGCGTGGGGTCAACTCCAGAAAGACCGAGGGAGCCACTTCTTCGGACAACTAAAGTCTTCGTTCCATAATCAGTGACAAAGTTGTCATTCCGTGTTGGGGTATGTGCCCTGACGCTCTGATAGCCACAGCAGAGAGGGTATTTTGAGGTCAGAATTTTCTTGAAAGCTTCTCTGAATTCCGTGTTGAAGATTGAATAAATGATCGGGTTAAATGCTGAGTTGGAATAGCCGAGCCAAGTGAGAATTTTGAAGGCTAGATCTGTAACAATATAAAGTTAGTTAAGATTGTTTATTGGAATACTTGTGAAACCTAAAATTAACTTATAATACCTGTCAGATCCAACGTCATCTTTGAAAATGTAAATATGTCTCTTTATACTAAAAGTTCCTTCACAAAATTTTGGCAGACGCTTTCAATTAAAATTATTTACCAGCATTAATTTAGAGTTAATTGAAGCTAAAAAGGCTTTACATCATTAACACATATAAGTATCGTCCAATAATAAAATCACTATAACTTTTATAAAGAATGTTTGTGGAATTATTTGCCAAGTTTTATAGAAATTGGTTAACGGAAAGGGGGTGAACATCAATAAATCGGATGCATCTCTTATCTTACTTTTGTGTCTCTTAGAAGTGAAATATTTTCGTCAAATTTGTATGAGACCACTACAGAGGTACTCCCTTGAAGATAATTACCAGTCTACATTTTTATCGCTATTGCGTAATAAATTTCGAAAATATCAAATCAAATAGGCCGCTTACACAGATTAAGAGTTTCTTACCACGGTTTCTTACCAATAAACAGAAATCATAAGTTCTATTTATTTTCCCGATATTTCGGTTTTCGATACGCCCCTGAAGCGCTTCGAAATAGCGGGAAAATATAAAAAAACTCATACCGTGGTAAGAAACCCGTAATTAGTAATAATCGTTTAAAATATATTGAACTAAATATTTACAGAAAATACTTAAAATACCTAAACATTAAATATAAATTGATATAAAATGAAAAAGCGACAAAAGGTTACAATTATAATATTATGAAATTTGTGTCAATACTTTTTAAACTCATTTCATTTCTGATTTTGACTCGCAAGTTGCCTCTATTCATAGCTTTGAACATGTCAATCAATATTAAAATATTGTAAAATCGTAATTACTAATTAAGTTACAAGTTAACTAATTCATTGAATTGACTCTCAAATTGATGAACTCTCAAACTTTTGCTGTGAATTTCTAGGAACTGCCAATAATTTTTGTTAAGAATTTCTGAACGCTGAACTTTATAAATTTTCATTAAATATATTTAATTTATTTGAGAATTTCCTATATATTTTCAACTTAGACTTGTTTCGTAGCTATTGAATGAATGAAATATTCTAAATTGTACATTAAAGAATTGTAATGACAACCGAACAGTAGACTAATTATTTTTTATGGTAAGTAATAACATATCTACATTTATATTATAGAGATTGATGTGATGAAAGTAATAACCGACTCAATAAGTCACTTAGTTAATAATTATTAACTGCCTCCGTGACCGAACGGTTACCATGCTAGACTGCCACGCAGAAGTCCTGGACGTCTCGATACCGGACCGGGAGAAACATTTGTATGGCCTACATTTTTTTCTCTCCTAAATTTGGTTGTAATTTGTGGTTGTCTATGTGTGTCCATGCCGCCCGCGATACAGGGTTTCCCTAGTGTGGCGTAATGAGTGTGTGCGTTAAAAAAACAAGGCTACAAAGTGCTCAATGTCCGACTAAAAAATTTGTATTAAGTTTAGTTAGTGATGCGTTTAATAAAAATTCACGGGAGAGTGTAACACTACCTTTTATATTATACTTAGAACGTACGTAAATTATAACTCACAAAATATATTAATTAACAAGTTATTATGACAGTATTTATGTAGCTTCGCCGTTTTCTTAAATGTAATCGTAATTTAGAAAAATCGAAAATTTCCTTTCAACCATTATGTATATTTTTTTCTTAACTATTTAGGTATAGTTACACCCAAAAATAATTTTTAAATATAGGTAACTATGCATACTACTCACAAAACAAAGATGTGAATGTCGTGGTATATCTGCAATATGCGTAAAATTCCTTCAATTCAGAACGTCTGGAATTTTCTTGATGGCAAAATTTTATTCATTTTCTATTGAGCAGCTAACGCGGGTCATCAACATAACAATCAAACATTACTATAGCTCGATATTTTAACTTATGTTTTGAAATGCCTGTGTAAGCTTTAGATTCAGAAATGTGCTGTGTGAAATGAGTCAGCTGAAAAGTATTTTTCGAGAACGATATCGTTGATTCTTTGTTTGTTGGAAAGGAAGTACATCAGTAGTGGTCACAATAAAATTTGAAAAAAGCGTTCCACTTCTAAAGGCGTACAATTAGGGCATAAATCCGATTTATTAGGTTTCACTCACTTTTCGTTCAACAGATTACAATAAAACTTGGCGAATAGATGTAATTTCACAATAATTACAATTTGTTTTGTAAAAATGTTCTAATTATTAATTGAAAAATGTCGTCATCCGTTCTAAATCAAATACATAATTGGGGGAAAATTTTCCAAACAATTACTGTAGTAACATTAAAAAAGTTAAATAAAAAGAAGTTATAGCTACAACTCACCAGGTATACAAGTCTTGCAGAAAGCAGCAACGATGTTAATACAGAAGAACGGCACCCAGCACACGAGAAAAACACCCATGATGATGCCCACTGTGATGGCAGCCTTATGATCGGATACGTGGTACGGCGATGATTGCACGTGTGTGTGCACCTTTGTTCGGACGGATTTCGTCCGGTTATCTGGCATTTGGACCGTACGGGTTACCGCTCGGATGGACTTGACGTGTTTCTGGGCATAGCAGTAGAGCCTGGCGACAAATGAATGAGATTTTATGTTTTTAGATTATGTTAGGTTAGGAGTATAATTACATGGCTTTTGTACTCTGAAATTGCAACATACACACATCAAAAAAAGTTTGCGATCACTTTTAAAACTTGAAATATTTTTTAATTTCTAAAAATATTTCAAAAACCTCTTTAGTGATACTATTATTTGTTTTTAATTTTAATTATTTATTTAATGTTGTACTTTTAACAAAAAAACTATTTATTACATATTTTTTAATAATATTTCCACATATTAAAAATATGTTAAGTTTTCAAACTGATCGCAAACTTTTTTTGATGTGTGTATAAACATACTACTTACATACTGAATTGTCATAAGGGATTTTCTGATTCTAAAACTGAATACCATATTATTAATATCCAAAATAAAAATAAATTATGAAATCACCATTTTGGAGGAAATTATTTTCATGACATTTTTTAAAGGAAAAGGCATGTTTCTTTTAATACATGAAACAAACCACTATTACTGTGGAAGTTTTGCCACGTGACTTATTTCTATTGTTAAGCAGTATTATGAGCATTACTGCGTATTGAATCCTCCACGCTACTTGTAGTCGATAATTGTTCGTTGTCGTTCAACTATTGACCGCTAGATGGCAGCACGTCCCAACTGGCAATAACAGGTATTCAACTTTCAACGATATGCCAACAGGGTATAGTTTAAATTATATTAACAGTTCCGAATTTGTTACTTCTTATTAAATTAGAAACTACGACCAATTATTATCAAGATTTCATAGAGTTTAAAATTCTGCATGTGTTCGTTTTAGCGACAGCGGTTCTGATAGTTATCGAGGTTTAAGAGTTGTTTACATTTTTCGCGTTCTAATATGCTTAATTTTTTCTTGGGCCGAGCGACAGGGACATTGCCATTATTTCAGAATTATTTTTTTTACAAACGAAACTAAAGCCATTTGAAAAACGTATATCGTGTAGTATGTGTATTCTATTTAGTTCAGTTATATATATTGAAAAAAAAAACATTGGCATAAGTACCTATTGTGTACAGCGATTTTTTATAAAATTTTGAGGTAAGTTTGTGTTATTTTTTTCCATCTTCGTGTTTCGACCTCATAATATATATATATATATAATAATAATAAGATATACACTGATCACTGCAGTGTATATCTTCAAATGTACTATATATTTTTTCTAAAGTAATTGATTCAACGCTCACTGTTATGCGGAATCAACCAAAGCCATTTGAGGTAGTATCGACTCAATGTTTTTTCTTCTTTTATGTCTCAGGGTGACGGGCACAGTGGCAATGCTCCTCAGACTCACAATTTCATTAATATTCAAATACAAGGCACCTATAGACAATTATTATGAAACAGTGACCTTAATTTCTTTCTTCCATGCATTTGATTTGCATCTTACAGAAAGTGAGTAACCACCGCACCAGATACACAGTAGAGCTCTTTGTGAAAGAGTTCGTCCAGGGAAATTATAGCAACCTTACCTATTTCTGCTGCCAAGCAGTAATATGAACATTACTGCGTTCCAGTTTGACAGAGTTCGCAGAGAGTTTGGTGTTGGTGAAATTACAGGCACTGTGTCACAGGTGGCTTCATCTTTGTGGTTTAAAGTTCTGAGTAACACTGTAACGGCGTACGACTAGTTTGTCCCGTCGTCGCTTAATATCATTAATTCATTCATATCAAGCACAGTTGTGGACAGGTACTTGACTAATACAAGGGTCAGTGGCGAAGAAATCCAGTCTTGTCGAGAGTCCATGGTTATTCGTTTGAATTTGACACATAAGGCAGTCTCCGACTGGGGCGATGTCAATTCTTGTCAAATTTAATGCTACCAAAACGCAGATGTGTCTATTCTCTACAAAACGGAGGTCCCTTTGACGTGACTCCGACTTTACGTGATACCTCCATACCGATAGCCGATCGTCTACTTATCACCAATAATAACAAGTAGATCAAGTGAGATGAGGTTAAAAGCGTACTTATTTTGTATTAAAAAAAAATCATAAATGCGGCATGTCTACACATCGCTCTGAAACGCGAGAAGAATATTATAAAGTCATAAATAACCCGCATGTGGTGATAACTGTGTAATAAAAAACAAAGCAAAGTAACTGTCGACAATGTAATATGAACTTCTCAGTTTTGAAATGCAAATACTGAGAGCAAATATAATGCACAAGTTCTTGGCATGGGGGTTCCTAGATCTGGGGACTATAACTAAGTAATTATGACTTAACTCGTATAATTAGTTGAGTTGATAAAACTTGAATGATAAAATAAGGTCTGTTCGTAATTTATTAATTTCGTAATTTATTGTTTAGATATTTCTAAACAATAATTCATTATATCACGTTCGGTCAAAATGTGGGTAGCCTTGTAAATATCAAATTTCACCTGCATTTGTTCTAACATTCGTTCAAGAAGTCATTCGCCACCGCTTTACCGTCTCAAACCAAAACAATATCAAAAACAGCATTTTGAGAAAAAGCCGCGTAAAGGATTTTTCGGTCTTTCGGTTTTTTCGTTTAATGACATAAAATGATACATTTAAATTACGTTGCACATTAGATATTAAAGCAAACCATATATCTAGCCATAGTATTTTACTTTGGAAAGTAAGTTGTTTCTATGAAAGGGAATAAATTTTTATTCCTCGTTAACAGTCGAAATATTTTTGTTGTTATGAAATTACAAAACACAGTGTTGAACCTTGCAGCGTTTTGGTTTGACACGATATACTGTCGTTTTTATTGATCAAAATTTGAGCCGCGACAAATGTTAGTAAATCCCTGCTCCTGAGACATTTGCGCGATCTGGGAGTTTTCGCTAACTCTAATTATCAAACCAAATCTAATTGTCAAACCAAAAGACTGTAATGTTGCATACCGTGTTATGTCAAAATATTTTGTATATTTTAAAACTTACTGTGTATTTTACTTTTTAATATCTAATTCAAAAACACTAATACCTCCAAAGTTGAAATACCAGGGTATAGATTAGGCTTGGAGAAATAATATGAGCGCTGTTAAATCAAAACACTGTAAATATAATATAAAAAATATAAAAATTTGACAAGATTGGCATCGCCCCAATCGGAGACTGCCTTGAGCGTCAAATCTAAACGGCTAACCATGGACTCTCAACAAGACTGGATTTCCTCTCCACTGACCGTACTGTCATCGGCATACGCAAAGGTACCTGGAATTAACATATCATTGATATGCAGCAGAAAGACAGTTGCAGACAGTACGGAACCCTCTTTGGCATCTGTCGCCATATGTTCAGAAGAGTAGCCTTCTAAGACCACTCGAATGGAACGTTCACTCAAGAAATCCGAGATCCAATTACAAAGGTCAGTGGGAAGTCCATAACATGGAAGCTTGCTTAAAAGGCTTGCGTGCCAGACCCTGTCAAAGGCTTTAGAAATGTCCAAAGACGCTGCAAGTGCTTCGCCTTGCTTTTCTATAGCTTCGGTCCATATGTGCCAGGCATACACAAGAAGACCCCCAGTAGGTGGTCCTCGATTGCAAATTACGAGTTTAACACAATTAATTGTCATTGGCAGCTATACGAGACACATTATCATTATGACATTGACAATACACTCCTTTAATTTGTTTATACATTTATTTCAATAATAGTGTATATTCAAATATTAAAATTAATATGTGGCTACCCCATAGAACTTTAAATACAGTAGAAATGGTTAGTTAGTGTCTGACGCGTGCCAACTATATAGGTTTCCACAGACCTATCTGAGCTCAGTCGGCCATTTTCGCTTTGTATGGTATGGTTGTGTCATTCTTTCGGGCAAATTCTCTAAAATCCTAGAAAAATGCCTTATTGTGTTGTTTTGGAATTGCAAAAATGCACCAAAAATATCATCGGAAAGCCTTATTTTAATAAATTTTGAAATTACTTAATTTACTTTTTAATTATTTTTATATTTATAATTTTTTTTTGTTACAAGAAACGAAAGTAAAGCTTATACCCCTGCAATAGGGTCGCTTCTTGTTGGAAAACTAAATTAATAACTCCAATTCGTCGAGGTTCAGCAATTGACCACTAGATGGCAGCACACTGATTGAAATTTCAATATTACATCAAAACGTCATAACTTGCAATAATAGGTATTGATGGCATTGAACTTTCAACGATATGACAACAGGGTAAAGTTTAAATTATATTAACAATCCAGAATTTGTTATTTCTTTTTAATTTTAAAACTACGACCAATCAATATAAAGATTTGTAGTGTTTCTAATTCAGAAAGTGTGAATTTTGGCGACATCGGTTCTGGAGTGCTCGAGGCTTAAGGCACTTCCATTGTTTTTTTTCTTCCGTAGGCTGTCTTAGTTAATTGCCAAGAAAGGGTCCTCAAAAAGAAATAAACTATGTACGACAACCTTGTATTAAAGACTGACTATTACAAAAACATGCACATTATTATATGTATAGCTTTGTGGAAGATGGCGTGACGAGTTGGACTCGTATACGAAATCTTGGCCGGTAGCGCGTTAATTCGCGATGAGCGGAAAAAGGGAAGGGAGTAAGTAGCTTTTGCTCTGAAGTGGGACAATAATAGCCAAACAATGAAAAGAAATAATATATCAATTTCAACTCCAATTAAAACAAATTTAGGTTCGAAAAAATAGTTTCATTTCCAGTGTGCTGCAAACACGAGAACCTAAGAACTCATTATAAAATCTACCTATCTCTACGGAGCAATTGCCAAAATGCCAAACCGACATTAATCAGCGATCTGAAAGCCGCTTGCGTATGACAACAGTAATTGTCTCTTAAGTTGATTTGTCAAGAGCTCTTAACTCGAGGGTGTTTTGTAACAACTTCAACTAATTAAATTTCAAGGATTTTCACCGCGATGTGGGGTATAACGAACCGTATTGTTTGAATTTCAATGTTCAGTATGGAGATGAAGCACGTGTGGGAAACTTTAGTTCAGCTTTAGCTTTGGTTGTTGTATCAATCCATTATTGTCTTGTAGACGCCAAAGAAAATAGACATGTGATAAATTTGAGTGATATATACAGTTCTTTATGAACGATAGTAAGTTTAGTATTAGACCTCTTAGATATAGTATAATAAGGCATGTATGGTAGACAAATGTAGCAGTACGGCTTGTATGTGTGCAGGCCCGCCACGCGCTGTGTACGGACGCACACATTCGCACAAACTTGCAGAGCACTCGCGTTGCATACCGTGGGTTCGCCACCCTTTCATACTAGATTGGAAGCATTCGCTCGGTGTTTAAAAAATGGTATAGAATAGTAGACATGTTTATTGATGTGTTTATAGTTGTTTGGACGAAAGAACACCGCTGACACTCCATACAACTGTCGAAACTTATTTATCTACTACTACTACATACAGCAAGGCGCTATCTGCACACGCGTGAATGAGTGCGTAAAGTGGCAGGGTTACCTACAGGGTTACAGGGTTACGTGATCAGAGCGGCAACATAGCGAAATTCTAACGCGAATCTGTTGTCTATAATTCTATTATAGAATCCTAATAATCACACATGTTCATTACGCATTTATATCGATATAATATTATATTTTTTATTAATTCACTAACTAGAATAACATTGAAGATTTATTTAAAAATAATTTAAAAGCACTTAAATTGTTATATTTTGGACAGGTACCTTTAAATAAGGTAATCAAAGTATTTGAAATTGTGTGTCCAACTTTATCATTACCTAGTTAATAATTAGGTATATTCACTACGTAATATTTATAGGCAACACAAATTGAAAATTCTAGAACCCTTGTCGAACTCACGAAGTTATGGCGTTTTATTATATTGATATAATAAATATGTATTATATATTACTCTGCACTAAAGAAAACAATAACTGAATGAGTCTCAGACATAAGTTTTTTTACTTACTTCGTTTCATCTTTCAAAAAACGAAAGAAAATCCTCGCTTTATCCCGTTTAGATGATTATAAACAGCCGTACATAGCACAATTCACGACCGTTATAAATAGTAACGTAAAATGATGTTATATATTAACGTACAAATTTTGTAATGAATAAATGAAAACTATATTCAAACATCAAAGCCGTCTTAGCGCGAAATCGGCTTGCCGACAGCCTTGTACTCGTTCAGTCAATGTGACCGTCAATGTGCGGGGCGTGGTGCGGTATCTAAAGCTAGGGAGGGGCGGAGAGTGTCTGTTCTCATTACTTATTTGTTCTCTGACGAAAGTGTCTCAAATTCATTATTGTTCAGCATTTCATTTCATTTCTATTTCATTATCACAGAGTAGAACAGTAGAGCTCCCGTAGAGTAGTAGAGCCTTTGTGAAAGAGTTCATCCAGGGAAGAACTGTCTTATCTATTCCTGCCGCCAAACAGTAATGTAAACATTACTGCATTTCAGTTTTGAAGGGTGAGGGTGCTGGTGAAATTACAGGCACATGTGACTTGTCAACTTATGTCTCAGGTGGCAGTGTGCCTCAAATCTTTGTGATTTAAAACTCTGAGTGGCACTGCAACTGTTATCCACAGGCGTGTCGCTTATTACCAGGCACACAACTTGTTCGTCTCGTCACTTGGTATCATAAAAATAATACTCCCATAATCCAGATACTAATCTGCGATACTGGTATAACAATAGCAATAGAGAAGTACTGCATTTAACAAATGTTATTTTAAAATAGCATAAAATACTATGATGAACACTTTATTTTCTAAATTATGTTTACAACCTCTAGGTACATCTAAAATAATAATGTGACAACCCTACGTTCCGAGCAAAGTGTAGGCATTGACGCGCCAAACAGGCGGAGAGTTGCCTTACTTGTTTTATTATATTCTGAACAATTCTTTCCAAAAACGGAGATATCTGTGTCTAACCGTGAAATATTATTAGCTGTTGGGCTACTCCAGTTATTACATCGAAACAAAACGAACTAAATAAAACGCTACAAAATAATAGTACTTGCAAACGGTGTAGACGCCAAATAGTTAGCGATGTATCAAAGTGTAGGTAACAGATCAGTGTTGCGGAAATATCGACCATTCTCGAGATTAGAGGCCCTTGAGAGCAGAGTCCGGATGTAGTAGTCTTTGGGACGACAGACGAACTACTAAATGGAGTGCGTTACAGTGCTGCGCTCAAGTGTGGCAAGGGAAAATTAACAATGTGGATGTTTCCTTTGCCAAGTGGTTCGTACAGTGCAATGATCTGTGTTGATTTGGATAAACTAGTTCCTTTTTCCTTCTTCTGAATTAGTTCGTGATCGTTGAGCTTTGTTGTTATTGTGACGATCTCGGTAGTCTAGCATAAGAGCCTATTTAAAATGTAAACTTTCTCAAATGGTTAAGATATGGTCGGTAATTAATTTGGAAAATTCTAATTCACTGAATTCAAATTTGAAACATTTATATTCTCTGAAGTCTTTTAAAGATTAAAAGACTACACCACACAACATCTTTCAATGACTTTTCATACTCTTGACATAAAAAAATCACATTGTCATAACACGTCAGAATTGCGTTTATCTATGTATCATATATTATACGCACATGTGAAATTTTATAACTCTCCTGTTTAAGTATAAAAAGTTATCAGCTAATTCAGTGCATAGAATCTTTAAATGTCTATCCTGAAAAGTGGTTACTTTCTTCAAAATTTCTTTGTTCAATACCAGCCGCTCAAAAAGCATTTGGCATAATTGCGACCTTGGAGACGCGGGTTTGTAAATATAAAAGACAATCCCCTATGACATCCACGTAAGACGCAAAATTGTTCCAAATGTAAATGGGATTAATATTAATGCAAAACTTAGTAATTGTAAAACTCACCTGCAATAAATGCTGATCATGACAATGCAAGGCAAGTAAAAAGATATACAGCTCGACACGACAGCATATGTTGGGGTCAGCTCCAATGCACACGTAAAGTGGCGTGGTGGTTTCTGTGTAGCTGCAGTCTCCTCATGAGGACGGTGAAGACCGAGGGATATGGGCAAGAAGCTGATGAGTGCGGCTAGAAGCCAGATCAATGCAATAGTAAAGATTGCCACGCGTCTTGTTACCCAGCGGCCATACCTGGAAAAGAAAAAGTTGTTGAGTTCCACAAACTCTTTATTGTACACATGTTTTATCGTCCAACTGATGAAATTGTGATCAAATGCATGATAACTCCAAACAAACGTGCCAGTGAGGCTTGTACAGGGTCAAGAGCACGTCAAGCTTGACACTTAAGATTTAAATCCAACTCTATGCTGCTTGCGATAAGAACGGTCCAAAATACAGTGTCAAGCTTGACGTGCTCTTCACTGTACGTATGCGCGCCCGCCGCACCGGTTCCGTGTATATACGGACGCATATATTCGCATAACCTCGAGATGCATAGCGCTGGTCGCTCCACGCGCATGTCATTATTACACAAATGTGTGCGTCCGTACACGCCACGCGGCGGAGACGACGGGCGTGCACACATACAAGCCGCATTGCTGTTTCTATGACGTTACCATACTTCTCTTATTATACTATGTGGGTAATTTAACAGACGGCTTGGTTTTCTTTTTTTTTATTATTTAGCAGCGATTTGACCTTTGAGTAAGAGAAAGTAAAAAGGATAACTATTGGACAGGTGGTTAATTAAATGTACGTACTACGACCCGAAAAGTAATAAATATTAAAATTAATCATAATCAAATATTATATAATGTAATACAAAATATGATAATATAGCGTCATATATTATGATTTAAACTTTCTTATTATTCGTTTTTTTTGTGGTACACAAACTGGGAAACCATCGCGTGTAGACATTTGCGCCTATAGAAAATTAAAGTGAAATTTAATAGTGAATATTTTTCCTATCCTTTTTTATTCAAGGATTTAGTTTACTTCAAGTAATTATTTTCTTTTTAATTTTTTCCGTTAGTTATCGGCTATTTTAATCATATTCACACCCATGCCTCAACTCAACTGCCTCCGTGGCCGAACGGTTACCATGATGAACTGCCACGCAGAGGTCCCGAGTTGGCTACGTACGATGGCCTACGTTGATTTCACTCGTGTGCTTGTGGGTGTAATTTGTAGTTGTCTATGTGTGTGTCTAAGTATTGTTGTCTAAGTATGCCTTGTTTTCTGCAGTTTTTGCCAAGCACTCGATGTATCGCCCAAAGTTGAGGTTGGATGATAAGTCCAGACCAAGTAGTACAAGGTGCATCTCGGAAAGTCGGAGTAAGGTGTAGGGGACTCCGTTTTGATGTAAAAAGACACGCCTGTGTTTTAGCCGCATTAAACCGGACCCTGTTTGTATCTCCCCAGTCGGAAGCCGCTTTCAGGCTCTGTTTCAACCGGGTGACCATCGCCTCTCGTTTACATCGAATCTTTTCGCTGTTGTTCGAGCGTCTGGCACATAACTCTCTACTACTGTGCTGTCTTCTGCATACCCAAAGATACCGGACATCAGCAGCAGGTCGTTGATATGCAGCAAGAATAGAGTGGCGGAGAAGACAGATCCCTGAGCTACACTGAGATATTTATACTATGAGGAGCAGACGAGTAACCATCTACAACTCCACGGATTGATCTGTCCTTCAGAAAATCGCCTATCCATGTGCAAAAGCCAACAGGAATTCCGTAAGCTGGAAGCTTGTTTAACAGGCTATCATGCCAAACAGGCTATCATATCAAAGGTCTGTGATACGTCGAGAGGCACGGCAAGCGATTCACCGCGTTTCTCGATAGCCTCGCCCCATAAATGTGTGGCATACGCAAGAAGATCCCCAGTAGATCGACCACGGCGAAATCCATACTGTCGATCACTGAGGAGATCGTTATCTTCGAGGTATCCAAGGAGACGGCTGTTCAATACGCGCTCCATAGTCATAGAGAGTATGGAGGTAATTGCGATAGGTCGATAATTAGATGGGTCGGCATGACTACCTTTGTTAGATAGTGGCTATAGGTTTTCGAGACTTGTCCAGAACTCATAAACAAATTTGATCCAAAGGTCATTGACTTACACGACACTTGCAAACATTTTGAACAATGACCTTAAATGCGCAGAAAGAAACGCGTTTTAAATCTATTTGGTGGTGGGGTGCTGACCTTACTTCCCGTACTGCGTCTACGTCACGCTGACATCCCACATGCATTCTATTCTAGCTGTCACGAAATGCCACGTGATTTGGTATGTAAACAAGAGTTAGTAGTGCAAAAAAGAACCGCTACCTGCATGGTAATCCATCAAGTACAAGTGCGTGTGTATTCTTATGGTATGATGTGAAACGTTTAGTTTACGCGGAGGATACGAGTGTCGAAGTTTCTGCTTTAAAGCTGTGGAATCTAATATTGAAACGAAACTCACGTGTGAATCTTTGCATAGCTGATGGTGGCTCCGGTACGGAGCCAGCCACCAGCTGTGTACTTTTAGCAATATTTTTTTAATAGAGCGTGGTACTTTTATCAATATTTTCATGTAACATAAAGTTGGTAAGTACCAAATGTAAGTTACAAAAGAAGTTTATTCAGTCATTTTTTCTAAAATAATAAATTATAACAATACTAGTACATGACCATAATTAAAAAGATAGTTAAATAAGCGATCGAGAAAGATTAAGTATCGCTCAGTAAAGCGGGTGGCGGGGCCACTGTCCTTGCGTGGTGCATATGAGTTGAGACAATTTTGCAAAACTTTACTAAATACAATTAACCAGAATAGAACAGAATATTTTTTAAATTATTAATTTCTTAAATATAGCGAGAATGCCAAACAACACACTATATAAATGACGTAAACAATTTTTTTCTTCACCTGTAAAATTGTCAAAATTCAGACAGTACCGATTGCCAATTTATAGTTTATATGTCATTTTTATGCATTTTGAGAAACGTTCTTTTAGTTTTTGCTTCACCGCACCTTTAAAAAATGAAGTGAAACATATGATTATCTCAAATAAAGTAGGAAGTTTTGATATGAATGATGTAATTAAACATCAATTTGCTTTCATAGACTTAAATTAAAATAACGGATAATTCACGTATTTAAGACGAATTTTTTGCTCGGTTTAAAACAAGAACACGGAAACAGTTTCCGTCGAGTCAACGCCACGGAATCTCATGATTACGGACGGGCTAGTTCGAAGGGTGTCGTGCAGGAATTAGACTTAAATACGTTAGTTTAATTAACAAGCCTGATTCTCACGGAAGTTGTCTATTTACAAATGTTGCGATTTGAGAAATTATGGACCGAGATTCTCAGGATGAAAGCCCTAATGTGCAACCTAATGAAGTCCCATGTGCTTGTAATTTTACCAGCACCCTTACCCTTCAAAATCGGAACGCAGTAATCTCAAAGTACTCCCTGGCGACAGAAATAGGTACTGCTACTACTAAATTGTAATAAATTCTTATGACCGTATTATGGTCTAATATAATATCATAATAATCTACCATCTGATGCTCTCCTGTGAAGATTAGCTTGCACAACATTACTCAGAAGAATCCTATAATCTTCATAGTTCGTCGTTCCAATCAACTCGAGAGAATAATCTGAACCATTGAACGCATTCAATGCTTCACATAATTCCCTGGCGTACCGTAGAATGCTGACGCTTCTGGCATTCAATGTTGCTCATTACTTTCTATTAAGAAGATGGCGGATTCTGGCTTTGATCAAGATGAATGTAACGAGAAAAATAAGTATTGTAAGAAATTTTTCATTACACAGTCACCGCGTAAGCGTCAAAATAAAATATACGTAAAATAAAATAAAGGTATCGAAAATTCACGGACATAAATTAAATTTTCTAGTAGCAGTAGAGCTCCATATGAAAGGCTCGTCCAGGGAAGTATTTTGAGAAAATGTTGTAAATCTTATATGTTGTGGCCGAAAGTATGCGTTTTTTAATATTATAATCGTGTAAGTTTCCAATATCACCATATCACCAATACATACTTCTTTATAACATCTCCCTTAAAATAACGTAAATTAATTAATCATATCAAACTTACATACTACATCAAAATGAAATGTAGTCATTAAGTGACTGTATTTTTAACCGACTCAAAAGAAGGGACTGGTTTTCAATTTTACTGTATTTTTTGTGTATGTTATGCAATTACTCTGTCATTTCTGAACCGATTTCGATGATTACTTTTTTGTTGATAATTTCAGTACAGAGTGCTGAAAAAACCGACCTCAAAAGTCACTCATCCCCTTGTTTGCCACCCTTAGAAGTGGAATATTTTCGTCTAATTTACCGTTTCCAACAAAAAAAGAATCATCAAAATCGATTCACAAATACAAAAAGGTCTGCAATGCTCTAAGACGCAGAGAGAAATGCGTCGCGATGCTCCGAGCTCAATCTCAAGTATGAAAAAGAGCATGCATAGCAAATGCCGTTATCTAGTAACATACATACAAAAAAGTACAGTCCAATCGAGAACCTCCTCCTTTTTTAAGTCGGTTAAAAAAGGGATACCTCCGTAGTGGTCCCCTACAAATTGGAAGAAAATTTTCTACCTTTAAGGGTGGCAAATCAGAGGATGAATGGAGTTAATTGGATTTCACCCACTTTACGTTAATCGATTCCAATAAAACCTGGCAAATGAATGTAATTTCTCAAAATTTTGAGAAAATGTTGTGCATCTTATATGTTGTGGCCGAAAGTTTGCGTTTTTTAATATCATAATCGTGTGAATTTCCTATATCACCGTATCACCAATACAGTATGTCTTTATAACATCTCCCTTAAAATAACGTTAATTAATTAATCATATCAAACTTATATACTATATCAAAATGAAGCGTACTTATTAAGTGACACAACTAGTGTTACCGGTTCTGTAGGGAATGGCATTTTATATTAAGATATTAATCTTTATTATTTAAGTAGATGAATATTAATCTTAATTTAGATTATACATATTATGTTAATCTGAGCCAAGCAGTAATGTGAGCATTACTACGTTCCGGTTTTGGAGAGTAAGGGTGCTGGTGAAATTACAGGCACATGGGACTTGTCAACTTGAGTCTCACGATGACGACCGCAGTGGCAGTGCTCCTCAGATCTTTACGATTTAAAGCT